AGTAACTCCGCACCAAGCAAGGACTCCCCAAGTCACTCACTGCACTCAGCTCCGTGTACACCGAGCTCCATTCATTCACCTTCAAATGTGACAGCTCCCTCCCGCTCCCAGCACGCTCACTCCCGCCCATCTCTGGCATCTGGCATAAAATAATGACTTAGCAAACGCCTGAAGAATGAATGAACCCCCCACCCCCACCCCTAGTGGCATAACTGAGCAGTGCTTGCTGGGAGTGAAATGAGCAGTTCCGTTCAGTGTGCCGCATGGCTGAGTAAGGTGCTTCCACCCAGTGGCTCCCAACGACCACCTACACTCCCCCTTTCAGCCAGCACCCCCTGACACCCTGGGATTCAGAACTCCCAGTTCAAGGATCACCCCTGGGGAAAAAAAAAAAGTCTGAGACTCTTTTGCTACTGGGGAGAGAGATCTCTTTATTCTTGAGGAACTTGACAGGCAAACTGTGGCGATTCTAGCCAGTACGAGTTTGCAAGGCAGAAAAATCTAAAAATATTTTCCCCTCAACTCTCCTCACTCCAATTTAGTGAGGAGTGTGATATTATGTAAATGTACAGATACAAGCGCTCAGGTCTAAAGTTTCTGCCATCTTAACATTTCTCTATACACTCATTTTTTAACCAGTAATTGAGATATCACCACCTTAGCCAAAATTCTTTAAAAAATTCATATTAGAGAAAAAATTCAGTCAATAATTCAGGTGCCATAAGAAAAAAATTGCCCACAACAGTAGTGGTATCTAATATTTATTGAAGACTTACTATATGGAATATGCTGTCCTATACATTTATTGAAGACTTACTATATGGAATATGCTGTCCTATACATTTAACATGTATCATCTCATTTAAAACTCACAGCAACTCTTAGAGATTAAATATTATAATCACCCCCTTTTAACGGAGGAAACTGAGGCCCCAAGAAGTGAAGTATCTAGCAATTACACAATAAAATGTGCATAACTATATGAAATCTATGGAGAATACACCCCTAAAAAACATATAAAGCAATTTCTTGACCCCATGGAATTTGCAGTCAGTCCAGTTGAAGAAATAAGACATGACACCTGCAGCATAAAGATAAAAAGTCATAAGACCCTCATGCACTGCTGGGGGACTGTAAAATGGTACCATCTCTTTGGAAAATAGTCTGGCAGTCCCTCAAATGGCTAAATGTAGAGTTACCATAAGTTTCAACAATTCCACTGCTGGGTGGATAGCTAAGCTAAGAGAAATGAAAACACAGGTCTACACAAACACTTACACGTGAATGCTCACAGCAGCACCGTTTGTGATTGCTAAAAAGGAGAAACAACCCTAATAGCCATCAATTGATGGATGGATAAATAAATGAAGTCCATGCATACAATAAAATACCATTCAGCCGTAAAAAGGAGTGAAGTACTGACATATGCTACAACTTGGATAAATCTTTAAAACATGCTAAGTCAAAGAAGCCAATCACAAAGAACCACATTTGTGTAATTCCATTTATATGAAATGTCCAGAATAGGCGAATCCATAGAGATAGAAAGTAGATTAGTAGTTGCCTAGGGCGGGAGGGAATAGGGAAGTTGGGATATCTAAGGAGCACTGAGTTTATTTCTGGGGTAATGAAAGTATTCTAAAATTGTGATGATGATGATGCACAATTCTGTGAATATACTAAAAACCATCAAATTGTACACTTTGAGTGGGTGAATGGTATGGTATGTGAATCACATATCAAGAGAACTGTCTTTAAAAAGGCATCAGAGAATTTTAAATGAAAACTTCAAACTCAAAAGAAAATACAGTTTTGCTTAATATAAAACTGTTCCATAGTGTCTTCGACTGAAGACAGGTACCTGGCTTATCCCTATAAAATATCAGTTATCTAAAGTTATAATTTCCTTTTAATTTGTATCCAAATTATACTTTGCACAAGTGAGACTAAAACAGACCACAAATCATCAGCCACAGGGTAGGAACAGGGCACTGCTCCCTGTAACTACTGAACGACAATGGGTTAATCTGGGAGTGTTCCTATTACGTTACTTTTGGGGTGGTGGGGAGTGGGAGAGAAGGAAGGAGAGGTTGGTCACAAGCTTTAGACCATGCAGAGATGGAGGAACTGTGCCTTGATTCCTCTGCCCTTCTAAGCACACTCGGAGATTGCATAAGACTCAAATGTCCGAAGCGATGACACCCAAACCTTGGGCTGCTGCCAGGATCTAAGAGGAGTGCATGGTGATAAGTAAATGCCTGATATCTGAGAAACCCAATCTTAACCTCAGGCCCAAAAGGATGCTGGAGAGAGTTACAGAAATGACTGTCTACTTTCTCTTTCACTCTATGGGGAAATCCTCATTTCCCCCTTTCTGTTTCATGAGATTTAGAGCCAAAAGGTTAAGCAGCTAGAAAATCTCTAAAGCAAAGCCTCATGGACCTTGGAACTTTGATGAGTAGAAAAAGAAATCTTAACCTGCGGACAAAAAGAGATTAGAAATAGGAGCTCCCAGCAGTACTTCAGATACAGCAGTCACTTCACCTCAATTCCAAAGGAGTTATTTTCTTCTTCTTAAGTTGCCTTCAACATGATGTTCTTTGGATAAAAGCTGTGAAGTTACCATGTATATGCAAATAAAAACATCAACTGAGAGAGGAAACCAAAACAATTTATACCTACTTAAAATCAATAGCTTATAGTAGTAAATACTATTTAGTTACATTAACATTTTAAAACAGAAAGACCAAAAAAAAAAAAAAAGACAAAAAATGGTGAAATGGCAATTAACCCTCTAGGACAGAAAGCACTGTGACTGTAAATATGCAATTTTAAAAGAAAGGACTCAAGAATGAGGGCCATTTTTTATACATAATAGCGATACTACCATGCAGTCATTTGGGAAGCATTTCACATTCGCTAAAGAAACAAAACAAAACACACTGCCCTTGTACTTTACCCACAGCAGCAGACCTCATCTGTTAATGGCCCGTTTGGTTTGCCAGCCTGCATCCTTTTCTTTGCAAAAAGCTTGTCCTCCTAATACAGGCTCAATGATGACTGCAGTAATTCCGCCTTCAACTGCAGGGACCGAGAATCATTGCTTATCTTGATCCTGGCAGGAACCCAACGTGTGGCCAGTATCTTAAATTGGTAGATGTGGCATTTAATGGCTCCAAATCACATGTCTAGACTTCAATGGGAGTTTCCCTAAGGACTAAAGGGTTAGGGAAAATACACTTTGAAAGAAAGGGAAAGACACGGCAACACTATTCACAATAGGCAAGATATGGAAGCAACCCAAATGCCCATCGACAGACGATTGGATAAAGAAATTATGGTTTGTATATACAATGGAATCCTACCATTTGCAACGACATGGATGAACCTAGAGGTTAGTATGCTGAGCATAAGTCAGACAGAGAAAGCTAAATACCATATGATTTCGCTTACATGTAGAATCTAAGGAGCAAAAAGAACCAACCAATCAAAAACAGACTCACAACCACAGAGGACAATCTGGTGACGGCCAGAGGAGAGGAGGGTTGGGAAAAAGGGGAGAAGGGTTAAAGAAGTACAAGTAGTTGAGAGTGGTCACGGGGATGGGGAGCACGGCATGGGGAATGCAGTCAGCAGTAATGCAATGGCTGTGCGTAGAGCCAGACGGGTGATAGAGTAATCAGGGGCATCGTTTCATAAACTATAGAAATGACTAACCAATGTGCTATATACTTGAAACTATTAATAAAGTAAAATAAAATGCTAAAAAAAAGAGAGAAGAAGAGAGGGAAAGAATGGAATGTTTCATATGCTCGCAGACACCCAGAGCAGACGGGGGACATAAAGATCATGTAGTCTAGGACGCATTCAGCAATGTCTGGAGATGTTTTTGACTGTCACAATCGGAGGGTGCTATGGGCATCTAGTGGGGAGAGGCCTGGGATGCTGCTAAACATCCTACAATGCACAGGCTCACATGGCCCAAAATGTCAAATAGTGCTGAGGCTAAGAAACCTTGATCTCGTCTATTTTATAAAGAAACCGAACCTGAAAGAGATCGAATGACTTGTCCGTGACAGTGCTGGTAGGAATCAAAATAAGGATTTTGAAGTCCAAGATTCTGATCAACCCAATCTGTTCTGCTTTAAGATTTAACCTGCTTTAGGTCTGAGATATGAAAAAATGTTTAGTCTCACACAGCATTTGGACAAGACCACAGGCTCAAGCCCCCTCTGGAACCTTCCATACAGCCATTCTAGAAGTGTCAAGCTGACGTGAGAAAAACCTCAGAAGGCAGAAAATGTGGCCCCCCCAACCCCATCCCCCAACACACACAAAGGTCTAATTTCAGGAGGGCTGCTTCCTTTTCCCAAATCCACATAGCTGCTTACGATAAGATACCAGGGTAAAAAACATCCTGTTGGGCTCAGGATCAAGCACGTGAAGAAGGTGGAGCCCCAAGGATAGAAGAAACACTGACAGTCTAAAAGAAATATCTGACTCTGCACGAACTTCACTGGATACGCAGACTGGGTGATTTTCTCATGATTTCCATGATCAATAGAAAAGATTCTGCTTCTTATATTTTAATACAAAGGTCCGTGTAGATGGTTTTTTCTTTTCTGCTTAAATCATCTAGACCACAGGCAATTTCCTCCAGCCATCTATTTGTACCAAAATGTATAGGTGGGCTCTCTTTGTCCCCTCTTCATTTACCTAGGAATTGTTTGAAGACTGCCCTCAAAATATGTGTGTCGGATAACGGACTTTGCCCAGCCTTCAGCTAGGGGACAGGTAGGTGGCGAAGAACTGAATGGTGAAGTCTGTCTCTCCAAACTGTATAATTTAGTAAAAACTTCTACGCCAAAGAGCACTCCACCGAGAATGAGTACTGGAGTCCAGGAGGGGTGCCCGGCACTGGAAGAAATGATCTCAGGCTTCATTCGATCTCTCGCTTCACAGTGGGCTAATGAGCCAATTCAAAATAAAATTCCTGGATTTGGGGTGTCCTAAGTGCTTTTCTAACCTGCCTCTGTTTAGTCAGTTTTGTTTGCTGCCCCATCAGCCCTAGTACTCTAGCAGACTGCTCTGATTCTCTTTTTTTTTAACAAGTGGC